TCCCATATAAGGTATATGTTCTACTATGCCAAGTTCTATTATGCACTGGTCTATAATGCAAAATGCAGAATGCAGAAGTGTAATGTGCAAAATAACTATTATACTGTATTTTGTATTATTGAAAAGTGTATTCTGTATTTTAACACCGTGATATTGGTATTGTTGAGCAATGGAAATTGCAAATAATAAAACTAAAATACGTATTTTGAACTACTGACATTTGCAGTTTGCACCGTGAACAATGAAATAATATTGGCAACGTTATCCTTCCATAAAATAATATATATTTTTCTATAATGAAATGTAACGGGAATATTCTGAATATTTCAGTCAAATTCTTTCAGTCTTAGCCGTGAATTACGCATTTTAAAAACCTTGTAGTCGCGATTGTCATAGTTACAGCTGTGACGAAAATATTAAAAAAAAGCCGATTATCCAGCTTTGCGTTTAATCCTCAATGACCGTTGTACGGTAGATCCGATTCAAATCTAGTGAAAATCGGATGCATCAGATGACATCGAGAGTTGATTATGGTCTTGGCATGTTAATAAAATGTCTAATTAATAGTTTATATAACATTTCATTCGCAAAGAAAGGCCTGCAATATGTAGATTTAGCTCTTGCATAATGCATGTCTAATTACTGAGTAATGCTCTGTAAAATGATGCTAATTATGATGTGTTTACAATACTGAAATTTCTGTGTCTTAAGAAAACCACGCCAAGACCGATTTATAGGATCTAGAAAAACAGTTAAAGGTCGGTAGATTTGACTCAAAAAATGGTCGGTCGAATAACCATAAACACAGGTTATATAATATGTTTGGCCTTATGACAGTGTTAGTTCACGTGATGGGGCGTCTCCGTTTATAAATCCAGTTTTATTTAGGCCTAGACTTACTTCCTTTTAAATGTATACTGTAGACCTACATAATTCATACTAAAATACATATTAATGATATGTATATCGGGAGAATCTTAAAACCAGATATATTATTTATAAGGGCATATGCATTTTATCACCCAATAATACATTCTACATTAGATATCGCTTGTGTGATATATTTCATAATCTACTGCGATATCTCCTTAGGAGATATCGCTTTACATGAATTTGATTGGTCAGTTGAAAAGGAACTACCTTTTTTTATTTTCAAAGAACAGTTCATTTCTTATTAACAATAACTTTTTTTAAAATTAAAAATGAACTATTGTTATTCAATTGACCATGATGGAAACACTGGGTCAATATAAAGGACTTTGTAATGGTTGAATTGCTGTCAAAAAAATGATGTATCACTACGCCATAATGTTCAGTAAAAGTGAAATCTACAGCAAAGAATTATATTTATCTATTTGTGCATGTAAGAAGGGATTGGGTGATAAATAAAATCTCCTACTCGTCTTTTTTGATATCAAAAAATATCAACACTCGTTGATAAAGTAAAAAAAAACTCGACAGAGCCTCGTTTTTTGTTACTTTATCAACTTGTGTTGATATTTTTTGATATCAAAAAAGACTGGTAGGAGATTCTCTATATATCAGGAAAAATTAAATGTTGATACAAGTAACAAAATTAGTATAAATACTCCTTGGGGACAGGTCATAGAATAGTAGTTTCAAAGGGTACACCTATTTCAAAGGCCATGTCTCAGTCAATATAAATGCTAGAGTCATATAACTTTTCAGCTTTACATCAAGTTTTTATGCACTATATTTTTTTTTATATTCTGAGGTGGTCACCTCACAAACACTGGTTCACTTGCCATGGAATGATCCATTCAAAAATTGCTTTTGACTCCATAAACAACCCAAAGAGTTTTAAAAGGGTACAGTCAAGAAAAAAAACATTCTCCTGCATGTCTTCGTGATTTAATGACTTTATTTAATGACTTTGAGAAAAAGTGACAACAATATATTCGTACATATTAAAATTAATTAAATGTTCTTTGAAAAAATAAAGTCATTATTTGTGGTAGAAATATGTATTTTGTAAATATAAAACGATTGTAAAAGCATTTACATATATAAAATAAACAAAAAATAAATAAATAAATGATTAAATATTTATATAAAAAAATAAATACTAAATATAAACAAATACTTCTACAAAGATTATACAGATTTTTACCCTTTGATTAAAGATACATTATGGGAGATTCGATAACGAGTTGACAGTTCTCACTATAATAATTAAAAACTAGATAACGTAAAGGCAATTTGCTGAAAATTTCATTCAAATTGATCCACTATGAACTGAGAACTAAGCGAATGAAATTTCTGCCTAGCCTCGGTCATCATTACTAAAGTACGATAAACAGCATAGTCTCGATTATCCATTTAATCGAGAAGGAAAGTTATGCAGTAAATCGGCTCACAATCCACTTAAGATCGCAGGCTAGCGATACCATCTAAGAGTTGATTATGGTCTGGCTAAGTTAATTGGTGTCTAATTAATAATTTAGATAACATTTCAGGCCTAAAGAAAGACCTGCAATAGACAGATTTAGCTCTTGCATAATGTATGTTTAAGTATTCAAATTATTTAGTTTCGTCCTAAGTTGCAAAGAACAGAGTCTAGTCGTTCAGAGAGGACGAAAATTGCATGGCGTCTGCCCGACTTCATTAGCCCAGTTGCTACAGAAAAGTAGGACGTTAAATCTCTTACTATTCATTTCATTTCTTTTTCCAATAGCAGTACCGGAGTAAGATAAAGATTTCTACAAAATACAGCAGTATTTAAAATGTGTCATTAGGAAAAGAGAATTTGTAGTGCATGCATGCATTTTGAACAGTGGTAGGTGATTTATAAAATACGGGTTAACGTCTTACTTTACTCCATCAAACTGACCAAAGTTCGATTTGAGGTGCTGACATCAGTAAACACAGAACCTCGTATATTTGTCTCACCTGCACGATTAAACGCATACACCCTTGCCAGAGAGCGGATTATATTCATAGTAACCAGGCACAATAAAGGAAAGGCACGCACCGCAGCACCCACATCTGGTATTTTAAGCTACTGACAATATATCAAACTATACCTCCGTTAATTACTCCCCCTTAAAGATACATTATTTAAGATTATGATAAAGTGCTTACCATTCTAGCTCATAACAGTTTTAAATTTGATAATGAATATTGTGAATATTGTGAAAATTTCAGTCAAACTACTTTACTATAATGAGCGGAGTTATGAGTATTTAAAGTATTGGCATGAAATAGCGTAAATAGTCTCTATTATCCAGTACCGTTTCTACAATAATAAGTCTCTATTTTCCATTTTAACGTTTAACTTTTGTGTGGCATGGATGTCATCATCCATTAAGTATCCGAGCTATCCGATATCTAGACAGTGGATTATGGGCATACGTGGATAAATGTCTAAATAATAATTTATATAAAGTTTGAAACCAGAATAAGGCATGCAATAGAAAGATTGAGCCCTTACATAATGAATCTTTAAGCATTTGAGGAATTTTAAAATATACTATTCAAAAAAAGTAGGGGATATTTGATTTTTAAGTGTTATTAAAGTCACCTAATGAAACTGACGAAGAAACAAATGACAAAATGAAATGAAGTTCACATTCATCGATTTATTCCAAATGATCGTTAGACTAAGTAAGGCACAGACTGACCATTATAAGGGTAAAATGATACCCGGGGTCAAACAGCAAAGTTACCACAGCATCACAACCAAGTCAGTAACGGGTAAATCCTCCTCTGTTTGCCAAACAAGCATTGATCCGACGTGGCATACTCCTAATGAGACGTCTAAGGTCATTTTGGTCCAGATTGTCCCATTCCTGTTGCAACGCAGCAGCAAGTTCTTGGACATTGGCAGGATGTTGTTGACGTTGACGTAACCTCTGTCCAAGCATGTCCCAGACATGCTCGATGGGGGAGAGGTCGGGACTCAGTGCTGGCCAAGGTAATGTGGTGATGTTCTGTTGTTGGAGGTAACCTGTAACGATCCTGGCCCTGTGACATCTTGCGTTGTCATCCTGGAAGATGAAACGGCGGCCATGACGTCGTGCGAACGGCACAACATGGACTGCCAAGATGTTGTCCCGGTAGTACTGGCCTGTAACACGCCCTGCAACAACATGTAAAGCCGTTCTTCCAGCAACAGTGATGCCTCCCCACACCATAACAGAACCACCCCCAAATCGATCATGTCTGATGACGTTAACGTCTTGGAAGCGCTCGTTTCGACGACGCCACACCCTCCTACGTCTGTCCAAAAAATCAACAGTGAACCTTGACTCATCTGAAAACATCACATTGCTCCAGCGTCGATTATCCCAGTGTTGACGATCCCTACACCAACGACGTCTTGCCTGAATGTGATGATCTCTCAAACAAGGGATCACGCGAGGACGTCGGGCGCGAAGGTGACCCCTATGCAGTCGATTCCGAATCGTCTGGCCACTCACTCTCACACCAGTGTCTGTTTGAAGACGAGCGCTGATCTGATTTGCTGTGATGACACGATTTCTCAAGGCCAAGGTACGGATAAATCGATCCTGGGCTTGAGTTGTCGCCCTTGGTCGACCTGAGCGTGGTCTGTCCTGTACAGATTGTGTATCACGGTATCTGGACCATAGCCTGCTTATGACAGACTGAGAAACATTCATCGTCCGCGCCACAACCGCCTGTGTTGTGCCGATCTGTAGCATGCCAAGGGCACGTAACCTTTCATTTTGGGTAAGCCGACGCATATCAAAATTTGTTTTCTGGTCACTAAAACAATTAAACTGATGTTTCCACCCTGGAATTCAATGCCACAATGACTGTAACATTCAAAGTCAGAGTCGTGCAAATCTTGGGTTGGACCCCCATGATGATCCCAAGCATCACCTGCATTCCATGCGGTAGCTATTGGTGCGTTTGGGCGTCACATGTAACTGGAAATGTTTCTTCTGTTAGGTTCTATAGTGACTTTTTTCTTAGTCATTTGCATATTTTAGTATTATGCCCCCAAAATCAAATATCCCCTACTTTTTTTGAATAGTATATATTAGAGAGTCCAATTCACCCGAGAGGATAGGCAGTGATGGTGGTTTCACTTGAAGGTTCAAATATAACGCACAAAGCATACATCAAAATCAGATGAAACAAGTAGTTGACGTATTGTAAAGGATCTATTAAACATGCATTATGCAAGAGCCAAATCTTCCTATTGCAGGTCTTTCTTTAGGCCTTAAATTATAAATTATTAATTAATAATTAGACATTAATTAACTTATCAAGACCATAATCAACTCTCGGTGATATCGTTAGACTTTGATATTTAGTGGATATAAATGCTATTGTAATTGATGATTTAACGTTAAAATGGATGATCAAGACTTTGTTTATTATCGTGTCAACGGTAGTATTGACGATCGGATCAGAGTATTGAGTATTCAATAAAGCTTGGCCCCATTCATCACAACATCAAAATTATACATTATACATCAACTAACAAAGAAAAGAAACAATAAGTTGTGCAAATTACAACAAACAGTCTATATTATGTCTAATTTCCAAACAATGTTTGGTTATTATAAGAAGTTTTAAAATAATTAAAATAGGCTATATATACCTTTTTCATAAAGATTATTGTATTTCATTTTAGGATTGGAATCTTATAGATTACCCTAACAACAACATATGCGATTACAAACAGAAGTTTTATCTTCACGTGGTGGAATTTGTTTCCCAGCGAAAGCCAGGAAAACTTGTTCTAAAGTTGTCTGATGAACAGAATAATCCTCCACTGAATAAACACCCTTCGATTCTTCCATTACATCAAATACACCTGCTAAAGGTATGTTATTATCTGGAATCTGGAAATGAGCGTAACCTTGGTGATCGTCAAACACAATGGCTGATGGGAAATTCTGTTGGATAAACTGTACCAACGGACCAATGGGTGCCGTCAATCCATCATCTTCGTGGGTTTTCATTCTGCATATCAAAGTGTAGCCCTGACCGAATTGATTCTTTAAATGTTGTGGACTTCCTAAACACTTGAAACTTCCATTAACCATGATGGCTACTCTTGTACACAGAGCATCACACTCTTCCATGCTGTAGAACAAACAAGGTTTGATTTAACAGATGTAATGTGTAGAATGGGCAATCAAACACTTACCGTATTAGCAACACAAAAATGTAACATTGCCTCATGTTAAGCCCACTATAAGCAAACTCTTCTGCACTGGCTACAAAACCAAGTATCATGTGCAATAACTCTGAAACTATTGTAAGAAATTGCTGAAATGACAGTTTGAAATGAATAGGTTGGCAAATTGTGTTCTTAAAGTTTGTTCACAAAATATACAAAATGATCATGTGCAATGCACCATGTTCTGATATTGTCAGAAATGGCCGAAATTCAATAGGCGACGTTACCAATCTGACTAGGCTACCATCTAGGTAGCAACATGCCGTGGGATTACCATGGAGATACATATAACAGCAGTGACTTAATAACATATCTTTGTGATTGCCATTGGGATATAGATAATACCACTGAGTGTAGGCCTACTGATTACGTACCTGTGTGACGTGAGTATCAGTGTTTTCCCACTGGCTCTGACTTTAGATAAAACATTCCAGAGTTGACGTCTGGCCTTGGGATCAACACCAGTTGAAGGTTCGTCCAGTAAAATAAATCCTGGGTCACCAATTAAAGCAATAGCTGTACTGAGTTTACGTTTATTACCACCACTGTAATTTAATCATGTATTTATTTAAAATATAGCAACCTTAAGCTTGAAAATACACCTACGCAGAAGCAATGTCTCAACAGCAGATTATCCCAAAGGAACTTTGATTTTGACCAAACTTAATTATCTCTATTGTGTGCACAAGCTTTTCCGGACAAAAAATATATATCCCTGTAGCAGAAAATCTTAGATAGCTGAAAATCAAAAGGGTTCATCCTGGTCGCAGTACACTGGATATCAAAAGGGTTAATTCTGTTAACGCCGAATCTTTAAAACCAATTTGAAAACAATATGTAAAAAACTAGTTGCTATCGCGTTAGAAGGGTTCCGGAAAAGTGTTTGTGTTTGTGTGTGTTTGGGGGTTGGGGTGGGGGTGGATGGCGGTAAGTGTAACCCAAGAACGAAAGGTTGCAGAGCACTTAAAGTCTGTAGCATATTTAGCAAGGTTTTCGGACAAGGAGGTACAGACAATCGATGGTTTCATCCTATAATGCCAAAACGCTTCTGCCAATTGTGAAACAAATCCAATAAAAGGGGAGATAACTCGGAAAGGAAAGGCTGCTGATACAATCAACTCAAACTAGGTCATTTTGGGACTAACATATGGTTCAATTTTATTTCTATAATTAGCTTGCACGTTGGGGTTTTTAGCAGTGGGAGGAAACCGGAGGACCCGGAGAAAACCACGAGGATGGACAGGCGTCCCTACTCCTTATCACGTACAACCGGGGAATCGAAACCACGCCAGCTGACTCAATGACGACTTTATGATATACCTGCATGCACTAACTCCCCCCCACCCCCACACACGGAGAAACGAAGATGGGAGAAGACACAATAGCCCACACTTTACGTCAACGGTCTAATCGAAAACTATAAGTCACTACCTTTTATACAGGATTTCTATTCAACAACCTACCTATATGCTCGTGTTAATTTATTTGCATGTTGCGTCAACATCAATATGTCAATCAAACTATTAACCACGCCCTTTAGTTGGGTTTCAGGTATCCCTTTTAGTCTTCCATACATATATAATGTTTCTACTCCAGTCATCTGATCTATCAAAGCATCAAATTGTGGACAGTAGCCCATATTTTCCTGTACCTATTATAAATAAAAGTTCTATTACTAATAATAAAATCAGATACATGTATTCATAATTGCTATAATTTCCCCAACCCTATAACATAAAGGCCTAATTAAATTTAGAAATTAATTAATATCATACGATATTGATGTATAGAATAAATATAGTCAATATCATCAAAGTCTCAACTTTTAAACCTACACTCAGGAATATATACTTTTATCTCCAGAATAAATACTTTCTGTGCTAAGAGGGCCTCTCTTACTTCAAATTCCAACTTTGAAGGGTTCTTTTGAGTGGACTACAGTGTGTTGTTGTCCCATACGAAAGACTATACTTTGTCCCTTGCCAAACCATCCACGGGATATCCTGTACCCACTGAGCCACCGTAGCTCCTGTATCATCTTGGACATTTTCTAGGGCATCTACACCTCCCCTTCCCCAATGGAAAATCCTAGCTACGCTACTGCATTATAATCTAAATTTTGTTATGTATAACTAACCTTTTGAATACTTGATTTAATGTCGTTTGATTTCAAATAGGCATTACCACTGGTAACCATTACATCGCCCGTCAACATTTTAAAAGTTGTTGTTTTTCCTGCACCATTTTGCCCAAGAAGACCGAAACATTCTTTATCTGGTATGCCAACACTAATGTGATCCACAGCCACAAAATTTCCATATCTTTTATAAAGATTATTTAATATGAAAGAATCGGTGGGTCGATTCATGTCCATATTTTGAACACGCTCAGCCTCGCTGGCTACGTCACTGTCGGTTTGTTGTCCACCATGAATGACGAAGCCTGGTTCAGTGCCTTCTTGTTTGGGTCTAATAGAGTACCAAATCCTCTGTGGTACCCGACCTTCTATGCATAATGTGATGGTAGAAAATAATACAGATTGAATTGCCATGAAGAGAATGTACATTCCAATACCTGGGCGATTCATGGAAAGATAATTACTTTGGTATTGTTTACAAAACTCTCCGCATGTGTCTGGAAAGTAAATTATAATAGAAATGATCAAATAGACTGAACAAGAAAGGATTATTATAATCTTACCTGAATAGGTCGAGCCATAAGACTTCTTTTGAAGAGCGTCACTCGCAAGAATAGGTCGAAATGAAATGGGGTTTAACGTCCTACTGTTCTGCTTGACTGTGCTAATGAAGACGGGCATACGCACTACAGTGTGCTATGTATGAGGAAAATTTTTGCTGTAAAGGGATCTTTTACGTGCACGCCAATGTATACAGGGACCTTGGTTTTCCGTACCATCTGAACGACAAGCCCTCCGTCCTGCACCACTGACAAGGGGAAACCACGCCGGAAAAAGAAGAAGTCGAACAACAACACAATGGATAGCTCTTTTGAAGTTTCTGGTCTATATATAATAAAAAGTAAAAGTAGATTTGGGGCAATAGGAAGGCAGATGTATGTCTTTTAGAATAATGATCAGCAGGTCCAGAGATCAAATCGAGGCTATATTGAGCCTCAGCCCTCAAATTGGTTTATTATATTATAATTTACCTGTAGTATATATTGGGGGTCAGTTTAATTGGTAGTTATGATTAGGAAGTCTATAGAACCTTCTACTGCTGTGGGAGGCATCAAGTCGGAAGGCATCAGTAATGGAACCATTTATAACAAGAATATTCAGTTACAGTGTATTTGTTTGGCTTTCCTGAGCTGCATGAATCTTAAAATAATATTAAGCAGTAGGATGTTGCTGTTTAATTACACATTGCAATGTTATGAATATTAAAATAAACTTAAAGGTGCATTATGTAAGATTTAGATACATGGCTATAATGGTTAATAAATAGGAAATGAAAAAGGAATATGTTGAAAATGTCAGTCAAATTATCTTTTTCTGAGCGGAGTTATGACCATTTAAAGAATAGATTAGTCTTGACTGTCAGTACAACCGTTGATACGATAATAAACAAAAGTCAACATTATCCAGTTTTTAATTACTGTAATAGTGTTTAAATCCGTTGACAACCAAAACTATCTGATGGTCAAGAGAGTAGATTATGGGCCTGGCAAGTGAATAAATGTCTACTTAATAATTTATTTAACATTTAAGGCCGAACGGAAGATCTGCATTAGGCAGATTCAAATCTTACATAATGCATCTTTAATAACATTGTGAATACCATTTCTAGTAGTTGTTTGTCTTACCTAGACAGCATGGATTGTAATTTTTTTCTCTATCACAAGCTTGGTCTGAACAATATTCAATACTGTGGTAATTATTAACTATGTTTATGATCGACAACCCGAGATTATGGTGGGGAAAAAATACTGAAAATATCACGTCCAGAGTTAATGCCATGGTTTTTTTCTCTGGTATCATACTTAAATAATATACGACCATTACAGATATTATACCTGAAAACAATAATACATTTATTGAGAATTAAGATAGTGATGAAATGAAATTAGGTTTAATGTCTTACGCTTCTACATCAACTGTCGATAATGACATACCTAATCCCATTTCAAAGACGTAAACTACACTGATAGGGCAGAATTACCCTTCATGCATTGTACACATGAACATAGAAAGACAAATAACACACGGCATGGCTAAAAATTATAGAAATATTGTGTTGACAAAAAGTTTAATTCCATTCCCGTACATATTGTATGCGGGCGACTCCGCTGGTGGAAAGTATCTGAAATCCAAGTACAGACCACAGATCCAGTAATTTATGTATTGAGGCGTGTCGTACACAAGACAGGGTATGTTTACTCTTACATAGTTAATCAGTCTGTTTTGTATCTCAAACGATGTTGTAGTCGGGGCAGAGTAGGCTTACTCTTTTTCAAAAAATTTGGTACCACTTCCCCTTTGTGGAATTCACAAAGTTAACATAGTTTTTTTTTTCAATTTAATTAGATAATTTGTATACTTACCAGAAAAAAGACTAAGTATGAGAATGGCCGCCATTCCACCAGGTGGTGTTTTAAACATAAATTGTAACATGTATACAAATGGTATTACAGCCAGTCCATACATGACGAGAACCAGAAACACGTAGGCTAAATTTGATCCAGAACGAAATTCAATATTTCTAAAACCCGCAAAGGCTATAATAATAAGCAGACATGGCATCATGTAATTGATAAAATCCCACGTGATGTTTGCCAACCAATAAATGAAAGATCCAACACCGCTGACTTTCTGTAAATGTTTGGCGCCAACTTGTCTTTCCTTGATAAGAAACACAGATAAACTACTGGCCAGAAAACACATGCCGAACATCATACAAAATCCTATAAGAAACCCATTACTTCCAGTGCTACCCCTAATATCATATTCATTAAAATTATTATCTGTTGAAGTTACTGGCGGTAATGGATGATTACGAGTTGTTATCTTTACGGTATCATCTCCAGAAACAAGCCTAGCTAAAGCATTCATCATAAATGAGACCGTAATACCAGCAGCGTGATACGGGTGTCCGTTATAAAAACCTTTAATTAATGTACTCGTTCCGGAAACTGAAGAAAAATCGACTCCTATCACCACTCTCTCTTTGTAAATGTGTGGTTTTAACTCCATTGCCGTATCCAGAAAGTACCGTGAGAAATTCTGTGCTTGTTGATCTGTTAGGTGTATGGTAGTCTCCCCTGTTGAAAACAGACCCACATATTTATTGCTCAAGTCGGTCGTTCTTGTCGAGCTGTTTGACTCACCGTAAACAGTAATAGGGTTAGCAAATGGCTTTAGGTCCAAGGTTAACGACGGCTCCGTATCCTGTTCACTAGAATAAGATGGGGTTATATTTGATATGGCTAAAGCTAGGATAGTTAACAGAACAGGGATCAGGAACTGGAAAACAGTGACTAGCTTGTTTCTCCAGGTATGGATAGCTTTCTTTATAAACATTCCATAAAACCTGCACAACTCCAGCTTTAGTCCTTCAACTTTACTGAAACCTTTATTGAATGCTGAAACGACAAAAAACAAAAAAAATATTTGTAGAATGTTTTATATTATTTACTAGCTTAGTTACCAAGGGTTTTGTAAGCTGTGTGTTTAATTAAGACATGATAAACCCAAACGTCTGTTCTGGACAAATGTAAATATTATATGTGTTAAGATATGTTAATTAATGACATCTTATAAAGATGATATCCAATCCCCTTGATGTATAAATGTATCTACAAAGCAATATGTATCACAAACGTTCCATGTGCGAAGAGGTTATAATTAATTACATCTGATAAAGATGATATCCAATCCAGTAGAAACTTGTTTCAAATATAAATAAAGTTGATATTTACAATTTTGGTTTCTGATTAAATTAAACCCCAAGCCACTGCCAAGAGAAAAAGTTTGTTTACCAGGAATTGTGTTACTTATTATGGTATACTTGGTGCATTAATAATGGCATTGCCAACTAAATATTATTACGTTATAGCAGTGATGGGATTTCAAAATTTTACTTGTCGGACATTTTACCAAAAATAAAGGGGCATAACTCTTATCGTTATTTAAGCAGACAAATTTGTACCACAATTAAAAGTCACATGTCAAAATATTCAAATCCTGTACGTATCAAAAATAGGTGAACCTCGCTATTTTTCATATTTAATTCCCGTACAGTATTCAATTCATCCCACAATTAAAAACCACATGTCAACAAAATATTCAAATCCCGTACGTAATAAAAATTGGTGACCTCGCTATTTTTCACACTTTATTCCCGTACGGCATTCAAATTTATGTCAGTAAATGTCCTACAAAATTAAGCATTTTCGTGATATGTTGAATGAAAGCTTGCCTATCCTGCTTCGGCATCAAATTCACAACCATAATATTCCTTTAGAATTACGTGTCTTCGTTTATACGGCAGCAAATGAATGCAGAACTTCTGAAATAGTTAAATCACTTGTAAACAGGCATAGCTAACTTCAGCGAATAACACTCTTTGATAGTCACGACAGAGTGACAGGCATCATAGGCAACACAGCAGAATGATTGACGCCTACAAATATGTAAGAATTTCTGCTCATATAGCTATTGGTAGCCCCTCCCCTTTTTGTTATTTTGCTGGGTGCGTACTAGTCTCGGTCACCCAGAAACGCCTAGTCTTCAACATATTCGTAGAATATTTTTCTGGATAATAGAGACTAATAGCCTATGTGACTCATCACACGGCTTCATAGTAAGCACTGCCTAATAATATGTTAAGCAATATTCGTGCCGCGCTCGAGATCAAGGGAAAGTGCCACTGTGGATGAGAATTTCTATATGGATTCTTAAAAGACGTAAAAGATATCGTAGACAAAATGACTGTCCATTGATTTAGGGTGTTATTTACTCTTACGATATGTGACATCTATGATTAGTTTATTATAGATGATGTCAGCTCACATCCATGCGATTAAGATGCCCGACAAATGAGAAACCATGAGGTTGATAATCATTCTTATTGAATTGATGAATAGTCCGACAAAAGGAAAGCAATGACTTCTGTTTAAGATTAGATTGATGAATTGTCCGACAAAGGATTAAGTCAGTCAATCAAGGCAGATTAAGTAGTTAAATCAAGGTAGGTTTATACTATAGACGGTATAACACGATAAATACGTTGATCAATTAATTACCTAATAAACCCAGCGTATTATCGACGATAATCGGGTTGAGTGGTAGTTATACACTCAGTAAACTATATTAATTTCGGAATTTTGAATATTATTCACCATGTCTTGATGTCCGATTGGGCATATTCCCGGTTGGACAATTTTGGGCGTTTGGAAAAAAGATTCGGACAAGTCTGGAATATACGGGCAAAATCCCATCACTGCGTTATAGGCTGGCCATGGTCCTGTTTATACCATTAACAGTACATCAAAGGAGAGGAAAACATCATGCATCATGGTAAAATATGTTTAATAATTGTTATTCTGTTTTTCTTAAGCCTTTTTGAAAATACCTAAATTGTCAGAGCTTAATTCGTGCTAACATATACCCAAATCGATCATTTAACATTTGATTAAGAAAACAAAACTTTAATGTCAATGGTAGTAAATCTCCTGTTTGGACTTAGTCGTATTAAACAAAGAGGTCCATTCAAAAATTTTACGTAACCCTTATAGGTGACACTGACTTGTATATAGAGGATGCCGAATAATTTTCTATTCATCATATCTTGGTGAATACGGAATACTGACATTCCTTTGGAGATTCAACTTTCGCAATATTATAGTTTCCAAAGAATTTACAATTCCTCAAATGAATTCAACAATGACCACTAGATGAATCAGTTGCGTTAAGATATAAATGTTTGATATCTCCAATGCAAAAAGACAAATTAAATTTAATACCAAGTATATCTTCATCCTGAACTTGAATATTGATTAATGAAGTGTTTTCGGTTTGTTGACCATTGTTGAAAACAGAGTTTTGAAACATGTATGGTTTAACTATATCCATGCTCCCATTGCTATCGTCGTCATCGACCTGCTCGCCAACCCTAAAATAGAAATACAATGCTTAGATAGATAAATGCATACATGTTCAAACGTTACCCATGTCAAACCAAAACACGACCGGCCTTTTCTTCCTATGGTCCAACTGTCTGCACCCAAACAGTATTTTGTTCGAACAATGTCCCGACTGACTAAACTATATGATGATGCACGGTTGAGCTCGTTCCAAGATGGCAGACAATATTGTAACTATGATGTACTAAAATGGTCGAAACCATCGTTAGGTTGCCAGGCAACGAAACATACGGCCACAACAACAAAGTTGTCCGGACAGTCAACGGGATATGAATTGTGGACACTGGACGGATGGATGGAGGCGACGACAATATACGACCACATTTCCATGTGGGCATGTAAAAATGAGTGTAAGGCAGTATATGACCATGCTACAGACGTGGGCCTAGCCATATTTAATAAACACATATCCTTCCATTTGCTTTTCTGTAGATAATGCCGATTCAGACCGACATAAATATTGAAATTTAAGCCTGCAGAAAACCACAGATAGACCGAATAAAAGGACCTGGGGAAATAGGTCGGGTGGGGCGTAGAGGTGCTGATTTTGTTCCCAAAATTTGGTCATCAAGAGACTGTAAACAAGGGTATTTCTGTTCAAGGCTAAGGAGACATGCGATGGCCGCCTACGATTGGGGTGTGTAATGGTTACAATCTGGCAGAATTTAAGTATCCATTTTATATGTAGATTTAAACATACACACGACTAGTTTGGATATATTTGGACAGAGCAGAGGAATACACCAACTGCTAGAATTAGCCAAAACGTTTATATTTGTGCAAAGTTGGTTTATTATTGAGTATACAAAAATTGCAGATACTTGAGAAAGACCTCCTCCATAGTGGTGGCCGTGGTTCCAAAACTCTTTATACCCAACTGGTTTTTCTGTGTTTCTATGTCTTTGAAGAGAGTTGAGAATTTGGATGAAGCTTCATTGGGTAACAGGTAGGATATCTCAGCACTGATCTCACTCTCCAGGGTGGCTAATGGGATGTGAGTCTGGACAAGCTCTGTTACCGCACCAACATTACACGTTTCTGATTTCACCATTACTAAATGGTAACCACTTCCTACAAATGGGAGATAAGACATGAAAAAATTGTTGCACATGAGAAATCTCTCCCAAGGTTCTATTCTTGTTCTGTGAGACCCTTCTTAATCTTTTGAAGGTATCCAAATCAACTAATGATTAATAAGTGATTAGCAGATTTCCGAAGAAGAGTTATTAGCTCTTTATAATGATTTCCTCTTAAGGTCCCAGTCCCGCCTGTATTCATATCTCGTGGTAATATAACTGTAATGAACATATGTTATTCGATATTAGGAAACGAAACTGCTTTTGAAAATATAATAATAGTTTGTGGCCATACCATAAAGCTGTTTTAAGAAATGGGATCCCCCACAGCATCGGACTTTTCCATCCGCCATTATAGCAATTCTGTCTCCTAGAAGATCAGCTTCGTCCATAAAATGAGTTGTAAGCAGAATGGTTCTAGTAGATCTGTTTCTTTGTAGAATATCCCAAGTTTGTCTCCTTGCTGCTGGATCCATTCCTGATGTAGGTTCATCTAAAATCACAGTCTGTAGCATAAACAAACAACAATTATGACTAAACACGTCTTGGAGCCAATGAAAAAGAAGTTTGACAAAAACAATCTGATTAAAATACAGATCTTTATTTCGTTTCATTTTTTTTATACTTTTGATGGCCTACACTACATGAAGATCTAACCGGTTGTAGTGGAAGATCGCGTCAGAGGTCATACGAGCGGCTTTTGACCCTCTGACATCAGATATCTGATTAACCAATTAGCGTTGACGTTTCTAGTGGGTTACCCACAGTTCTGTGCACCTCACACCAAAAACTCGCCATAACAGACAGTTTCATTGGCTAATGCCTTACATCATCCAGAACGCAGTTAAGAACAGTAAAACGAAATTCTGAACTATATAAAAAAGACACGAAATAGGATCTGTGTTTTAAACAGATTGGAGGAAAACATTAGCTGGCAAATGTGTATAACACATAACACGAATATATGGAATACAAGTTGCTTTAGACGTTTATTTCTGACGACTTTTTGTCGAGCGTTGTCATTCTTTGCTAGATAAAGACGAGAGAAACTTCGTCTAAACGTCACCAGAAATATTGTGATAGTATAAATCAATTGAATACCTGTGATCCGCCAATTAGAGCGATGCCAACTGATAATTTTCTCTTCTGTCCACCAGACAGGTTCTCGGATCGTGTATTTCGTTTTGTTTCTAAACCAATTTCTTGAGCCATAGTCTGTATTTCTTGGGTTACTGTTGCTCGATTACCACCCTTTAACTAAAAACAATATAAAGTTATGCCACATATTCCCAATATTCTGTGAATGTGATAGGGCCTAAGAGAAGCTAAAGGGTTTTGTTTCTTCAACTTTGGTGGAAAGCATTAGGGTTTATTGATATTCAGCGCTCCGCAACTTTCCGTTCCGGAGATAACACCGCCCCCTCCTCTACCGAAAACCCAGCGATAGAGCCTACAGTTTTAAACATAAATTTTTAAAATGTAAAGTGAAGTATTCTAAATGCCCAGTTAATGCCAATGCGTATGATATGTAAATCGTATCAATATGAGGAAGTGAACTGTTAGATAATAAAAGACTATCATGTAAAACTTACCAACAGGAAGAATTCTAGATGTTCATCTACTGTTAGATAATAACAGACTATCATGTAAAACTTACCAACAGGAAGAATTCTAGATGTTCATCTACTGTTAGAGTATCAAAGAGTATATTATGTTGTGGACATAATCCCAGACTTTCTCTAACACCATCCATATCAGTTCTTATATCATGACCGTTAACTGTAGCTTTACCTGATGTCGGTGGAATAAAACCTAAAAACCAAATACAATTTAAATCATTCTTACTCGATTGATATTAATACTATTATGGCTGGATATTGTATTGGAATATGGGCAATTTTAAAGAAATCTTGCCATACATTGTGAATATGTCTGTTGTCATGGGAATTGTATTATTAATGTTCATTGTGTCTTAAATAGGATCCCACATTTTCATAACAACATCAATATGGATTGAAATGGACCAATATTGAATTCTAATTTGTGGCAACACAACTTAAATATTCAAAAGGAAATAAACTATTACCAGTTAACATGGACATGGTAGTAGTTTTGCCAGCACCATTATGACCTAATAATACAGTTATCTGCCCCTGATACATGCTCAGGTTCATATTATCAACAGCCAAATTCTTCTTTCCACCACCAGATTTAAATTCCTGAAATTCACATACATGGCAGTTTGTACAATATAAAGACCAGAATAGTAAAATTAATAATGAAAAAAAACACCCAAAAACAATTTTGAATTTTGAATTATAATTTGTTTTTACCTTACTAAGACCATTTATCACAATTCCTGCCCCGCAACCAGACGGATCTTTTTCGAAGTATTTCGGGTTATTTGTTGTTTGTTCATTATCACGATATTTTGCAGGGTTTGTTCCACACCAGTAACTTTTCTGAAAAATATAAACAATGGATACTTGAAGTATTTTATCTTTTTGGCAGTTGCTGTCAAAATCTTGTCAATTTCTACAATTCTCTTCTCCACATAATTTCTTCTGTGAAATGGGGTTTAAGTCCACTCCACGCCATCCTCACCAGTGGTCTCATTCCATTCTATTCCTCTATACCCTGGTCTCATTCCATTCTATTCCACTATACCCTGTGTACATCCACGCGGTATTTGTGGCAAGTCGTAGGGCACCGGGGGTGGGGGTGGGGATTTATAACAAATTTTATGGTATATTTCATAGATTTATCTTTATTTTTAAACCTTTGGGCTGATGTAATAATTGATTTTTAGAAAACTTGTTCTGTTGGATTTGCTGACAATGATTTTAACAACGTAATACTAAGATAGGTTGCCAGGTAACGAAACATACACCCACAGCAGCTAAATCGTCTGTACGGTCGACAAGGGTTGTCGCATATTTATTCCTTTGTAGGTAATTGGGGGGCATTAGAAGAGAGTTCCATACAGATCAGATTATAAGTTTTGCCATTTGAGGGTCCACAAGGGTCTCAACTCTGAAAGTAATCTACAGAAATTGTTGAAATTTGACAGGCTTTTTCGTTTTACTAATTTAAATAATGCATCTAAATTTCATACAGATGAGATGATCACTTTTGTCTTTCAAACGTTCACAACCGCCATAACTCTAGAAAATATTGATGGAAATTGCTGAAATTCAATAGACCTCTGTTTCAGAAATTTAAATGATACATATAAATTTCATAGATATCGGATGATAACTTTCATCAATCGAGCATTAACAAGGTTGAACAAAGTGAAACACGGGACATAACTCTAGAAGTAAAAAACGGAAATTGCTGAAATTCAATAGGATTCTTCTCGTTACTAATTTAAATGACGCATTCAAATTTCATACAGACAGGCAGATAATAGGCTTCTTTGTTTCACTAATTTAAATATGCATATCAATTTCAGGACGATCGGATGATAACTTTTGGCGTTAGAGCGTTCATAAGGTTCAATAAAGTGAAACAAGGGCCATAACTCTAGACGTAATAAATGGAAATTATTGAAATTAAATAGGCTTCTTCATCTCACTAATACAAACAACATATGTCAATTTTAAAACAACTGGATGATAACTTTTGGCGTTAGAGCGTTCACAAGAAATTGTTGACAATGGACGGACCGACAGACGGACGGACGGGGGCGACGGCAATATATGTCCACATTTCTATGTGGGCGTATAAAAATGCTTATCTGTATCATCAAAGGAAAAGAAAACAGTTTTGAGATCCCATTACTTTAAAAGTAAAATAGTACATACTTGATATACTTACCATAAGAAAGGAAAATAGTACAGTTTTGAAACTCGACATACTTACCATAAAAGGAAAATAGAACGGTTTTGGAACTCCATTTTTTCCAGGACGAACATTTTCGACATACCACATTATTATGAGGTAAATAGCACTGTCACCTAGCAACATCAACATGGCATCCAACATGCAAAAATTATCTCGCAGTACTGCTGGAGAGGCCATATTGCTCCACTGAACGCCCTCGCCTGTAAAAGAGATAGGGAGAGATGTGGTGAAAATTTTGGATGTAACATTAGATCTAATATGCATAACTTCTTTTTTTTACACCGAATAGAAGGAAAAGTCGGTTACAATAACGACCTTGATGACCTTGAGAATAAAAATAGACCACATACTGTTGTACCTAATTGTAACGTCTACATACGATGCAACTATTGCACCACTTGATCGGTTTAAAAATATGACCACACAGCAGCAATATCTGTGATCAAATTTGAAATGTCGACAAAGGAGGAATAATTCTGGAGCAGAAAGTCGCAGATTGCTGAATATCTACAGGGTTAGTCCTCTAATGGTCACAATGCTTTACATCAAATGTGAAAAGAATCAGTTAAAAACCATAGCCTCTATCGAGTTCACAAACAGGGCATAACTTTGAAACGATACTTCCCACCAAATTGGAATGTAGCCTCAATCGCATTCACAAGGTTTTTGGTAAAGGGCGGGGAATAACTCAGGAATGGAAAGTTGTCAAACGCTGAATATTGATAGGGTCGTTTCTCCCATTATTGCAATGCTTCGTGCGTAATTTGAAAAAAATCCGTTAAACACCATAGCTTACACCAACAAGGGCATAACTCTGGCATGGAAGAACAAAATTTTAAATGAAATGAAATGGGGTTTAACGTCTACTGTTCTGTTCTGACGTCTAAATTTGAAAAGAATCAATCAAAATGTGCAGCCACTATCGCGTTCACAAGCCAATAATTGACGGACAGACAGGCTGAATGACGACAAAATACCTCTAATGTATGGAACTATCGACAGTTTACTTAGCTTTCATAATGAGGTATTGCAACTTAGCGATACAGTTGATCAGAGCGGGGATGGGGTGGGGGGGTGTACCATACAACAACATTACCTGTTTGTTCGTAATATCCAATAATATAAGCTCCTAGTCCCATAGCTGTGTTTGACAAAATACATGAACCAAGTTTGGCACTTCTTCCCATAGTCTCATATAGCCCAGTCAAAGTGAAAACTGGCACATAGGTCAGGAAAAAGAGAATTCCAGTAACTGCAGCACCAACATTGGCTGAAATAAAGAGACACAAATCTATTTCACAAACATAACTAAAACAAGGAAAGTGGGCCATCAACATCCTGCAAACTTGGGCATGTTTTGGAATATTGGATGAAAATTAATCATACAAATTCATGTCAAATAGATACCAAAACAATTTTAGGATCCGTGCACTTCTTGGTTATGTTTTGAATGGTACAATATCTGTGATATTGGTAATTCACATTATGATACTCCTATTACAGATGCATCTTTCACAATATTGTAGTTTGCAAGTGATTACTACAGCGCGAAAATGGAGCCTTTGCGTAAGAGTTAATAAAGCTAGTTTGGGATTTATAAATGATTTTGCCCAGATCTATTTGATCTGCAAATAAAGGAGGCTTGAGTGTGGAACTATTAATGACCTCAAATTTTTTTTCAACCAAAATATCAACAATGGCACGTAAATTGGGAGAAAAATGAAAAGGAGGTAATGCTTGAATGGACACAACTGATGTCATGCAAGCGGGCGCAAGGAGACTAAATCAGGGTTTTCGGTCTCAAATTTTCCCCAGCTGATCGATTCTGCAGTATTTTGTTTGCCTCGGATATATATTTTCTAATGCCTAAAACAAGAGCCCTGAACTAAACATAATTACATGGAAATTGAAATGTGGGTATACAAATTTATTTGAACTGTGTGCGAGAACACTTACCTTTATCAAAGAAGACACTGACTAGAAAACAGAATGATATAATAGAAATAACGTAGCACAACAGAAACACAAAGATTACAGACATATCGGTGTGCCCTAGTACAGGCCCATTTTCCCCCAGTGGTATTGCCATGGCAACTGTATATAATATCACAGCTACTAGAAGATATATAAATGCAGTTAAAAACCACGCTGTCCAATTTGCTGAGCTTTTCAAACCCATCATTTTCATTGATTCCTAAAATTAAAGGAGATAAACCTGTTAATCAATATTGTCCATAAAATTTGAAATCAAACGAATTAATATTTAATATTGTTCCGTTTTAATCAATATTTTATCTGGTCGTGAAAATATGGCATCCTAATGCCCAATATTTAATAAGATATAATGAACACTTTAAAATCAGTACCAGATCGTGTGTTCTAGGGTTTCGGATGCCATTTGTAATGAAAAAAGAAAAACATATCCTACAAGACAATGCAGAAGTAATTAGTAATGGCTGATTCACAAACGATAAAATCATAATTAAAAAAAAAAACCTGTAGAACCGACTAATCAGGCGTAAACGAATGCTGTTCAATTTGGACTAGTCACATATTTCACTGAACGATATTGATTAGAAATTAAAATAAAAAATTTAAATGTTAAATACAAATCACTTCATATACATTCATATTACAAAAATGTGTCCCCCCTCGTCTATTTTAAAGTTAAAAGATAGGTTGCCAGGCAACGAAGCATACGCCCACAGCAGCTATATCATCCGGGCAGTCAACCAGAGTTGTCGCATATTTTTACTTTTTTCGGTAATAAAACATTTATAACACATTAAAATCTGATTAAGAGCAACAACTCATTAAGTAATTATCAGAAAACCATTAGAATTTGTTTGGTTTTTATGAAGTTCTGCCCCATGCTAACATTTAGTATACAAAACTTTTAACATCATGGATTTAGCTGTTCAAGTCATAAAGACTCATTGAAAATCAATATAATTGTTCGTCTCAAGACCTTAAACACTGTGTATAAATTTAAAGTCAATCGGATATTAACTTTAGCCTCAAGAGTTTCCACAAGATTTTTCAAAGTGATCAAGGGTCATAACTCTGACAGTAATTATCGGAAATCGCTGAAAATTAATAAGCTTCTTCGTCTCATGACCTTAAACACTGTGTATAAATTTAAAGTCAATCGGATATTAACTTTAGCCTCTAGAGCGGCCACATGATTTTTTAAAGTGATCAAGGGCCATAACTCTGGCAGTAATTATCGGAAATCGCTGAAAATCAATAGGCTTCTTTGTCTCATGACCTTAAACAGTGTATATAAATTTAAAGTCAATTGGATATTAACTTTAGCCTCTAGAGCGTCCACAAGATTTTTCAAAGTGATCAAGGGCCATAACTCTAGCTGTAATTCTTGGAAATCGTTGAAAATCAATAGGCTTCTTCTTGTTATGACCTTAAACACTGTGTATAAATTTAAAGTCAATCAGATAGTAACTTTGACTTTTAGAGCGTCCACAAGATTTTTTGAAGTAATCAAGGGCCATAACTCTGGCAGTAATTATCGAAAATTGTTAAAAATCAATAGGCTTCTTCGTCTCATGACCTTAAACACTGTGTATAAATTTAAAGTCGATTGGATATTTACTTTGACCTTTAGAGTGTCCACAAGATTTTTTGAAGTGATCAAGGGCCAGAACTCCGGCAGTAGTTATCGAAAATCGCTGAAAATCAATGGGCTTCTTCGTCTCATGACCTTAAACACTGTGTATAAATTTAAAGTCAATCGGATATTAACTTTCGCCTATAGAGCGTCCACAAGCAATTGTGGATGCCGGACCGCCGGACGGACGGGGGCGACAACAATATACGACCACATTTCAATGTGGGCGTATAAAAAGAGCCATACGCCCTTTAAAAAGAATTATATTCATATAATCGATACATGGGACCAATTAATCAAGGGAAAGCCCAGAACGGCCCAGAAATAACAACGAGAAGAGACAACAATAACTAATAGCAAATGCTCATTAATTAGGTCCCGTAGCAGATATAAATATCACATAAAGCACTTGGCTGCAAATGTGTTGTATTCGCGTGAAAACCAACCGGGGTTATTTTAGCTTTTAGAGCGTGAATAGAGTTTAGTATCAAGTGATTCAGAAATCGAATGCAATACCATACTTCATTCACTACCTTGCCGTTTGTTTTTATAAATGTGTTTTACCTTTAAATTTCTCTCCTTTTCATAGATGATATTTTTTGCGGTGATAAAGACACTGATAATGAAGCTAAAACATAGTATACTAGGGAGCATGATTTGCAAAACGTCTATCATATAATCGAATTCGCTTGCAGGATAAGGCATCTGCTTAACAGAATATTTATAATCAGTTAAATTCGCTGTAGGCGTCCAGGATTTGATAATTTCCTCATCCACATATCTTTGATAGTACACAAAGTCATCACCAATATAAGCTGAAATATATAACAAACAAGAACAATAGTACAATATGGGACAGGTACCAAGTATGGGCTCTAGGACAATTTGTCCCTGAACAATTCGTCCCCAGACAACTCGACCCCAAGGACAATTCGTCCCCTGACAATTCGTACCAGGACTATTAGTCACATAGGACTATTCGTCCCCTAGGGCTATTCGTCCCCGGACAATTCGTTTCCATGGACAATTTGTCCCCGGACTGTTCATCCCCTAGGACAGTTTGTCCCTGAACAACAATACTGGTAGTTCCATCATCATAAACTGAATTAATCTTTACTTTTTATCCTAAATCCCAGTTTTGATGCTAGTTTTGCATCCTTTAAGAATAGACCTAGGGAACGAATAGACCTAGGGAACGAATTGTCCAGGGACGAATTGTCTTTGGGGACATATTATCTGGGGACAAATAGTAATACGGGATGAATTGTCCGGGAACGAGTTGTCCGGGGACGAATTGTCCTGTACCCCAAAGCATGATGTCATTGCCGCCATCTTGGAATTGTGACATGTCAAAAATCGAAATAGCTCAATCGATGCCCAATTGTCCAAGCATGCTGATTTTCATGTCAATCTTACTTGAATTTGCGGATCCATAGGCCATTTTCGAAAAGTGTACCCCCCCACCTTTTTCAACTACTAAGAAGAAGACGAAGAAACTGTGTAGCATTTCGGACGGACGGAGGCGACGGCAATATACGACCACATTTCCATTTGGGCGTAAACATTATTTAGTACACATGGTAAAAGTCTGACACAAACACAGCTAGAACCATATTCAATCGGTTGTATATTTGATTAAAAAGTTCGGTCTTGAGATACTTTTTAAAACCTTTAATAGAATTGGGCTTTTGGTTGTCATTGGATATTTTTTTTTTATTTTTTATAAACAATATTCTTATTCAGGATGTCTGAATGGGATTGGGGAACAGGCTTAGCCTATGTAAAACCCCTCTCATTTGATATTGAAGTCTATAACTTCAGAGCACCGATTGCAAAAAATTTAACACTCGAGTTGGTTTTAGAAAAAGGCTTAATTAAGAGGTTGTATGATTGTGATCAAAGGGTTCTGCAAGGTTTATTGGTGTTGAGAATGGCTCTAAGGTACTGAGGTGAAGAATCGCCATTTAGAGCAGAATGCATTTAATAGACAGTATTTTAAAATTGATACGTTGACGGACTGGAGGCCAATAGGGATCTTTCAGAATTGGTGAGTATGTTTATTTGATTTAATATAATGATCAATAGAGAATTTGTATTACAGGCCTGGTCCCGGTTTTACAAAATATTCTAAGACATAAGATAAGAATTTATTCAATTTTCACTGTCTCTAATCTAAAAACCTAAAGCTATAAAGGGCTATATTTTAGTTAAAATAAGGCGAACAAGTTCGAGTAAATTCTTAACGCAAATCTGATAATGTTTTGTGAAACCGGGTCTGACGATATACAGATCAAACTGAAAGCGGAAAAAAGTAGGGGTTATTAAAATGCAAATACCTATGCCGGTTGTGATATGAGAGAGAGAGCGAGCGAGAGAGAGAGCGAGAGAGAGATGGGGTTTAACGTCCACTCAACACAAACTAGGTCATTTCAGGACCAACATATGGTTTAATTTCATTTAAATAATTCGCTTGCGCGTAGGGGTCTTTAGCAGTGGGAGAAAACCGGAGGACCCGGAGAAAACCCACGAGGTTGGACAGGCGACCCTACTCCTTGTCACGTACAACCGGAAGTTCGAAACCACGCCAGTTGACTCAATCAATGACAGGCTTTATGATACAGCACGCACGTGCTAACCATTCGGGCATCCAACCCCCCTTGTGATATGATAAATAGTCATGGACACTTGACATGCTTTGAGAGTATAATGTTCACAGATGAAGAACTTATCGCCCCAACAGAACCACTGAGCTGTACGTGCGACACGCAAAAGCGCCATACACGTATAAGGGGTTCATTGTCAAATTTTACACTTCAAGGAAGGGTTGATTGATGAAAACTGCCATGTGTTAGTTTATTCTATCGATGTTTGTTTTCCTATCGGTTCTTGCATAAGATTTACTGTTTAGCATATTGATCATATGGTCTGAAATGCGCAAATATCAAAAGGGACTGAGATCTTTGGGATATAAGATATGTTTTAAGTTTCATCAAAATCAGATAAAAATTGTGACCTCTAGAGGGTCCACAACAATTTGCGTACAAAAAGCGGCCATTCTGTCGGGCAGTTTCATTTCGATTTTCCCGAAATTCGAATTCAACATTCATTATGGTGAAATGGTGATATATTTAAACGGTTTTTAAAATCCGAACTCAATGAAAATTACGGTGTAACAGTGATATATTCGAACGTTTTTTTTTAAGCGAATAATAATTGTGACCTCTAGAGGGATCACAAGCTAAAAACGCAATTTTTCGTACAATCAGGGGCCATAATTCAGGAATTTTTGTTCCGATACTCGCGAATATCGAAAGGAACCAATATCCTTGGGTTATAAACATGTATTTCAAGTTTCATTAAAGGAGCTAAATCGCTAACATTTGGGACCTAGAAATTGAGAAAAGTGGGTCGCAACGCATATAATACTGTAGTATGAATGTATATAAACTGATTAACATTCAATGGTTTCCGTTTTTACTCCAATTTCAAATCAGTTATGTTCGGCAAAATAAGCCAGCAGTCTCAAGCAAGTGCAAATTTCTAGCGTCTGGTTATTCCTGTCTACATACGCCGTTTGATTTGATGCAATGTGTCTAGCCTCGTCCCTCGAGTCTCTCGATACAACTGGGGCTGAAGCGCATTATGGTACACGATTCGTGTACCAATGGTAAAATGTTTATTTTGTCTTAAATATTGGATATCAAAAGCCCATCTTTTTCCGGTAAGATCACAACATGAATGTTGATTTAATTTGACAAATAAATCGTGTTTTCAATGTTGAAGATTTTGGATGATATTGAGTTAGAGACTTAGCTACTTTAAAATCGGACAAAAATTGTGACCTCTAGAGTGGCCACAACTTTGATATACCAGATGTTATACATTATTTGCATATGTTTATTTTGTCTTAAATATTGGATATCAAAAGCCCATCTTTTTCCGGTAAGATCACAACATGAATGTTGATTTAATTTGACAAATAAATCGTGTTTTCAATGTTGAAGATTTTGGATGATATTGAGTTAGAGACTTAGCTACTTTAAAATCGGACAAAAATTGTGACCTCTAGAGTGGCCACAACTTTGATATACCAGATGTTATACATTATTTGCATACGAGGGGCGGATATTTTGTCCGGCAGTTTTAGTCCAATTTTCACGAAATTCGAACTCAGCCCACATTACGGTGTAACGGCGATATATTTGAACGTTTTTATAAATCGGATAATAATTGTGACCTCTAGATGGAACTGAAGCTAAAAACGCGATTTTTCGTACAATCAGGGGCCATGAAAATGTGGGCGTATAAAAGTTTCAAAAGATTACAACATTAGTATACTCACGTGTGGATCTGCTGCCTTGTCCCCCTGAATCTATAAAGGGAGATGTGGATCCTGTATTCCATAATGCGCTATATTGAGAATTTGGCCTTAACGCATATTGTACATGTTTTGGTAAAGCTGTAGTTTCATTTGTTATGTCGTCGAAAACTATAGCTATTTCTACAGACCTTGTGTTGTTTCTGTAGAACTTCAATAAGTCAGTCTCACTTTTAAATCCGTTGGCTTCATCTGAAATTCAAAATCGTAGTGACACATTTTCTATTCACTTAATTTATTAAAGGGGCGTGGTTCCCCCTTGTCAGTTATGTAGGGCGGAGTAATATAGTCATTCGAATGGCATGAAAAACCCTGGACGTGTACTCAATGGCGTGTACGTAAAAAAAACCTGTGACAGTTGGAATTCGAAATAAGAGTTGGTCGTTGCGCCGCTATCCGGGAAAAATTTCCCTCATAGCACACAGTAGGAGTAGAACACTAGGATGTTAAACACTAGGTTTTTCATTTCCTTTCATTTTTGGATACATATATTTTACTTACGTCACTGTCAGTATATAAATAGTAATTATAACATTATTCAGAAGATGTTTCATAAATAGACCTTTTGCAAACAAAAATTATCAAGGGGGTGGGGACATTATTACCGTAAAACAACATTTAATGTATAATCCATGAATGTATCCGGGTTCTTTCCACTGCTAAAGGCTCCTGCTCGCATTATTGAGGAGTGGACGTTAAATCGCAGCTCTCTCTCTCTCTCTCTGTGAATGACTAAACCATACGTCGCCAGGCAATGAAACATACACCTACAGCAGCTAAATCGTCCGAGGGGACAACAAACATTTACAAGACAATTTCATACAGATCAAATTACAATTTTCGTCCTTTGAGGGTTCACAAGGTGCGACAAACTAAAACAAGGGCATTAACTCAGGAAGTAATTTACAAAAATTGTTGAAATTCGATAGCCTTTTTCGTTTTACTAATTTAAATTTCATTCAAATCGGAAGACGACTTGTTGTTCTGACGTTCACGTTAACAAAGTAAAATAAGGCCCATAACTCGAGAAGTAATTCAATAGGATTCTTTGTTTCACTAATTTAAATGATGCATATAAATTTCATACAGATCAGATGATACCTTTCATCACTCGAGCATTCACCAGGTTAAACAAGGCGATAACTCCAGAAGTAATTTTTGAAAATTGCTGAAATTCTTCGTTTCGCTAATTTATAGGATGCGTATAAATTTCATACAGATCGGATGATAACTTGTTTTGTGGAGCGTTCGTAAAGTGCGGCAAAGTGAAATAAGGGTCACAATTCAAGAAGAAATAAACGGAAATTGCTGAAATTCAATGGGATTCTTTGTTTCACTAATTTAAATGATAATTGCATACAGATCAGATGATAACTTTTGTCATTCAAGCGTTCACTAGGTTCAATAAGGTGAAACAAGGGCCATAACTGTAGACGTGATTAAAGGAAATAGCTGAAATTCAATAGGATTCTACATTTCATTAATTTAAATCATTCACATAATTTCATAGTGTTCACAGGGTTCTACAAAGTGAAACAAGGGCCATAACTCTAAGACATAAAAACGCTTACAGCAAAGCTGATGTCCCCCGCCGAAATCCCCAATTACTCTGCTACTATCTTAGTCTAATTCACAGACACTTATGTCAGTATCCATTTCTGGGAAGTAGGGTACTATTGTCCAGTCATCTCGTGCACAGATTAGTACAATTAACTAGAATAATGTTGACGTTAGAAAGGATATTAAACTCAGACCGTGGATATTTTTATAAATTGAAAAGTACTATCATAACTTTGTAGTTTGCTGTATGTATTTACATGTACTTATATAAACTTAGTAACAACATAAATGGTGTTCCAGAGTCAGTTAATTGATGTTCGTTTTTATTTGGTAGCGCGACACAGGATAGTGTCACAGTCCGTTTATTTGGTAGCGCGACACAGGATAGGATAGTGTCACAATACTACCTCAATTAGAAGGAGAGTTATTTTGTTCCAAAGTCTCGAACAATCAGAACAATCGACTTTGCCTAAGCAGAAAATACTCAGCATCAAACTTTGTTACGGTATTGATGCAATGAAACTGTTTATGAAGTTTCACCACTATCAGTATCACTCAGTTAGAATCAAATTGCTTATTGCGCTGCGTACCCGAAAATGTTCATTATCGAACTTAATCAAGGTATTGATGTGATGAAACTATACTTCACATTTCATCACCCTCACTTCATTCGAACTAAAGTTATCGTGGCCCATAGCATCAACCAATCAAATTGCTTATCTCTGCTTACCCTAAGCAGAAAATGCTCATTTTTTGATCTCCATCAAGGCATTTACCTAATAAACACCTACATTAAGTTTAAACATTCTAGCTCAATTAGAAGTAGAGTTATTGTACCCCAAAAAGTGTGATGGACAGACAGACAGACATGTAGAAGGCCAGGGATACAGACCTATTTTAATAGTCCCCTGCTTTCTTCGAACGGCGTTGGACAATAATGGGTATAAATTTCATACAGATCGGATTGTAACTTTTGTTGTTAGAGCGTTCACAGGGTTCAACAGAGTGAAACAAGGGCCATAACTCTAGACCTACTTAATGGAAATTCAACAAGATTCTTTGTTTCAATAATTTAATGGATGGACATAAATTTCATACAGATCGGATGATGATTTTTGTCGTTAGGGTGTTCACAAGGTGCAATAAAGTGAAACAAGTGCCATAACTCCAGAAGAAATTTCCGGAAATTACTGAAATTAAATAAGATTCTTCATCTCACTAATGTAAACAACATATCAATTTCAAAACAATCAGATGATAAATGCAGTCTGTAGAAATTGTGGACGACGGGTGGGTCGACGGGGACGACGACAATATGTGGGCGTATAAAAATGTTGGTGGCGGGCCCATATCCGCTGAGCGGCAATGTATTGCACACAATGGTTTGATACCTACATTTCGTTGGGGATATGTCATAATTAACGGAGTTCACGACACTGTTCATAATATCATCAATTAAGGAGTTATTTGGTGTGTAAATGAAAGTTTTAACATAATTTCTGTCGTAATATTTATGTCTATTGAGTTGACCATCTAAGTGCACTTTAGCAGGGTACTTTCTGTTAGCAGGTAAACTTGCACGGATAACCATTAGTAACGCAACAAGAAGAAGAGGACATAAAACCTCGAACACCGACGCACAGATTTTCCTTCTTTGTATTAAAAAATTCTTCCATAACAAAATACCAACTTGTCTGAAAAATGTCGCCATTTTGGATCGCTTATTTTCCCTGCACACTCAAAATTCGTATTATTTTTTTTACCTTGTGGTTTTATATTGTTTTCAACATAATGTTTGATCAGCTATGACGTCGACCACACCTCAGTAAAATCGTTGAACCGTAATGTGGAATATACCGGAGTAAAATCACCGAACCGTAATATCGAACACACCAATTAACAGTTAAATTGTATAACCGTAATGTTGAACTCAGCAACAGTTAAATTGTATAACCGTAATATCGAACACACTGACGATGAAACTATTCAGCTGTAATGACGAATACACCAACAGTTAAATTGTATAACCGTAATGTCGAACTCAGCAACAGTTAAATTGTATAACCGTAATATCGAACACACTGACAATGAAACTATTCAGCTGTAATGACGAATATGCCCGATGGTTATGTGCACTTTTCAAGCCTGTGTCAACAATGCAAACTCATTGTACACAATCAGTCGATTAACGGCTGCCTTCTGTCTTAACATTCACACCTATATTAAAATAAAAATTCCTTTCTACCATGAATTTAATAAATATTAGAAATACATTTCAGAGTGTTGGGAGTTCTGGTCATTGTAATCTATTAATATACTATTCAAAAAAAGTAGGGGATATTTGATTTTGGGGGCATAATACTAAAATATGCAAATGACTACAAAAAAAGTCACTATAGAACCTAACAGAAGAAACATTTCCAGTTACATGTGACGCCCAAACGCACCAATAGCTACCGCATGGAATGCAGGTGATGCTTGGGATCATCATGGGGGTCCAACCCAAGATTTGCACGACTCTGACTTTGAATGTTACAGTCATTGTGGCATTGAATTCCAGGGTGGAAACATCAGTTTAATTGTTTTAGTGACCAGAAAACAAATTTTGATATGTGTCGGCTTACCCAAAATGAAAGGTTACGTGCCCTTGGCATGCTACAGATCGGCACAACACAGGCGGTTGTGGCGCGGTCGATGAATGTTTCTCAGTCTGTCATAAGCAGGCTATGGTCCAGATACCGTGATACACAATCTGTACAGGACAGACCACGCTCAGGTCGACCAAGGGCGACAACTCAAGCCCAGGATCGATTTATCCGTACCTTGGCCTTGAGAAATCGTGTCATCACAGTAAATCAGATCAGCGCTCGTCTTCAAACAGACACTGGTGTGAGAGTGAGTGGCCAGACGATTCGGAATCGACTGCATAGGGGTCACCTTCGCGCCCGACGTCCTCGCGTGATCCCTGGTTTGAGAGATCATCACATTCAGGCAAGACGTCGTTGGTGTAGGGATCGTCAACACTGGGATAATCGCCGCTGGAGCAATGTGATGTTTTCAGATGAGTCAAGGTTCACTGTTGATTTTTTGGACAGACGTAGGAGGGTGTGGCGTCGTCGAAACGAGCGCTTCCAAGACGTTAACGTCATCAGACATGATCGATTTTGGGGTGGTTCTGTTATGGTGTGGGGAGGCATCACTGTTGCTGGAAGAACGGCTTTACATGTTGTTGCAGGGCGTGTTACAGGCCAGTACTACCGGGACAACATCTTGGCAGTCCATGTTGTGCCGTTCGCACGACGTCATGGCCGCCGTTTCATCTTCCAGGATGACAACGCAAGATGTCACAGGGCCAGGATCGTTACAGGTTATCTCCAACAACAGAACATCGCCACATTACCTTGGCCAGCACTGAGTCCCGACCTCTCCCCCATCGAGCATGTCTGGGACATGCTTGGACAGAGGTTATGTCAACGTCAACAACGTCCTGCCAATGTCCAAGAACTTGCTGCTGCGTTGCAACAGGAATGGGACAATCTGGACCAAAATGACCTTAGACGTCTCATTAGGAGTATGCCACGTCGGATCAATGCTTGTTTGGCAAACAGAGGAGGATTTACCCGTTACTGACTTGGTTGTGATGCTGTGGTAACTTTGCTGTTTGACCCCGGGTATCATTTTACCCTTATAATGGTCAGTCTGTGCCTTACTTAGTCTAACGATCATTTGGAATAAATCGATGAATGTGAACTTCATTTCATTTTGTCATTTGTTTCTTCGTCAGTTTCATTAGGTGACTTTAATAACACTTAAAAATCAAATATCCCCTACTTTTTTTGAATAGTATAGTATTATCTATATTCATATACAATCCTCTAACTCTAACGCAATAATGGTCCACTTATTTCGCAATTAAATGGAAATATTTCGATTTGTTTTAATATGTAAAGTATATAGCAATAAGTAAATGCATTCTTGTCTGTAGGTTTGTTGATTAAAGTATGGTCCAATAGGATTTAAACTCGAGAAAAAGAGACACTGACTGGGTAAAAAGTGGTTTGGATTCCCACGCCCCGCCAGTTATTATTACTAAGTAATAATCTTCTTTACTCAAATTTACTGCGCCATAAAACAACATGCGATAGATATATTAATAGGAGTGACAGATACAGATAACCAATGGTGGCCACACACCAACGTCAGCTGTTTGAGCAAACATGCTTTCTTGTTGTTGTTCTTAGCGTTTAACGTCCGCTTCCACCGAAGGTGATATCGCAGACAAGTTCATTTTAATGATCTTAGCGCACGCGCAGGGGTCTTTGCTGTGGGAGGAAACCGGAGTACCCGGAGTAAACCCACGAGGTTGAGAAGGCGCCCCATACGCTCACACCTGGGATCGAAACCACAGCCGCAAGCCAGAGGTGACCGGCCAACTAGAGGTCGAAGCGTGACACTCTAGACCACTAGGCCATCCCAACCCCCCTACATGCTTTCTATTTTTACATGCTTTCTATTTTTACACACCTTTTATTTGGTTATAAATAACGCAATGTAATTGAATGTCGCCATCTTGATTATTTAATTTTTAGACTCGAATAACAAGACACTGCATTGGCTTCCCACACACCGAGCCTCTCGGCGTACACCCCCGTTAAACAGGCATTATGCAAGAGCTAAATCTGCCTTAAATATTATATAAACTATTAATTAGACACTCATTTATTAACACGACAAGACCATAATCAACTCTCCGTGTCATTGAATAGAGGGAGCTCTGTGCCCTGAAGTCATCTTAGTCTTAGTGTCTTGATATTCACAAGCAAGATGGCGTCCTCGACGAAATCTTTAAAGAGGTCTAAATTGTGTGTGAAATTACATGTCTGTATGAACCACAAGAGATTGTTTAGGTGCGAACGTCTGTACTGAAATAAGGCTGTCCCGACTGTCTTAAATTTCTGAATATCAACAAGATAAAGCGAACCACTTACCTGATGTCTTCAGGACGTGTTGGCATCAATAACATAAGATTGGATGACATCACACCAAATTCAGTCAATAATCAATAGCCATGTACGTTCGTTCCTGAAGTTTTACGTCCACTTCCACCAAGTAGACGGAGAGAAATAAAAAAAACACTGAGAAGAAATTGCAAAAGAATTTCTTTCACTGGAAGTGGAATATGGTAAAGGGATGTCTAAAGGACTCCCAACTCAAAATTGTCAGATGAAACCCTGTAGCGTTTTTCACAATAAGCATAAATCCAAGATGGCCGCCAATTGGACTTTCTGGCCTCCATATCTTTGAAACGGTTCGTTTTAGAGCAATAAATGTATCATCATTAGATACAAAAGTGATATCAACGAATCGGAAAATAAAATTATCACAACGCCAGCAGGTCATGGTCTGACGCCCTGACGCCACAATGACGTCATGACGTCACACTGCCGTTATTTTGACGTCAAAACACTGCTTTGATACTAAAATAAGCGGGTTAAACTGAGTTCTGATTCTGATGTCTTAGAGAACTCAGAATAAGCGGGCTGTGACCTAGTTTGTTTTTGTGATACTGACTGACTGGACTGGAATCCAATGTGGTGATTGGCTTGGAATCCAGTCTGGGTTTTCCCCATATATTTGAAACTTTCTTTTGCTAATTTTGTGAAAAGAGTCGTATTTCGCCATGGATACGTGCATAATTTGTGGCAATAACGTAAATAATTTCGGGGATGTTGTCATGCTCTTGTGATTGGCTTGGAATCCAGTCTGGGTTTTCCCCAGATATTTGAAACTTTTTTTTGCTAATTTTATGAAAAGAGATGTATTTCGCCATGGATACGTGCATAATTGGCGACAATAACCTAAATAATAGTGGGGATGTTGTTAAGCTCTGATGATTGGCTTGCAATCCAGTCTGGGTTTTCCCCAGATATTTGAAACTTTTTTGCTAATTTTGTGAAAAGAGCCATATTTCGCCATGGACAGGTGCATAATTTGCGACAATAACCTAAATAATGGTGGGGATGTTGTCAGGCTCACCACCAAGGGATGGAATCTAATCAATCAGGCTGCTCAGCTTCACCAGTTGGACATTTCGGTCACTCCTAATGCCCGTGTGCATGTACAGTGCAGGCTCCGAGTTCACAAAGCATTCTCAGACTTAAGTTGAGAATTTACTCAAACTTGTTCACCTTATTTTAACTAATATATAGCCCTTTATAAAACTTTTGTTGTTTTAATGTATCAGATACATCAATAAGAAACTGTGCAAAGTTTTGTGTTTGTGCATCAAAGATATTTCTCATAAACAGTGATTGAAAGTTGAGCAAATTCTCAACATAAGTCTGAGAATACTTTGTGAACTCGGGGCCTGATAGAATTTCACTCACCAGATTGGATTCCAGTCCAGTCAGTGAGTGTTACAAAAACAAACTAGTTCTCAGCCCGCTTATTCTTAGTTCTCTAAGACACCAGAACTCACGTCAAACCCGCTTATTCGGTATCAAAGCAGTTAGTCCGGTCGTCAAACCTCAATATTTCGAGTGAATCTGGAAATTGTCTATAAAGTTTTTTTATAGGATTGATTTTAGTAGCCTATGGTGTCCTCTTTTAGAATCTGCCGGGTGAACTCCGGTCACCCTTGAGCTATTTGCGAAATTCAAGATGGCGTCCAAGACGGCCGCCATTTCAAATAATCCCCCATAACTCCCATAGTATTTATTCTAGGACGATAATTTTGGTGTCTAAACGTATGTTACTCGGGTCAAGGAATACACTGAAATCGTTCATTATGTAGTGGGGTGATTGGATGATAGTACAATCTAAAATGGCAGACAATATGGCCCTTTAACTCGTTGGCGGCAGCTGGGGGATATTATTTCAACAAACCAAACTATATCTAGAAACAAACGACATATTTCAAGATAAAGGAGCATATGAGTGATGAGATAACATCACATACATGCCTATTTGGGGCTCCAGGGCCACATGGACCAGTTTAATCCTTTGGTCGTATTTCTGGCCGCAACCTAAGACAGTACAAGCACAAAATACTGTACATTCTAAGCCATTCGTAGTACATCTACAAGCAAGCGTACTGCATGGGGTGTCATTCTTGTTTTCGCATCTGATGAGACACATGGCTTGTTGATGGGCTCTTTTTACGTTCCCTGTAAATGCATCATTCATTGAGCAAGACTACCATGTTTGATGGGGGATGATGACTTTTTAGATGCCCATACCCACCAGCGTGTTTCAGGCGTCGATTTGGTAGAACTCTGTCCATAACAAGCTGACATAAATACAGTGGCCCGTGTAAGCACCGATTCTACTACTCCGAGGACTGAGAGAGAGAATACAATCAAGCTCTCACCACTTCCAAAGCTGTAGTAGCATATTACCGTGTCATATCGAGTAAGAGTATGGGCTGACAAGATTCCAATGATAATTGACATGTCAACGGTTGTTTCTTCTTTGATTAGTGATTCCAATGTCAACGGTTGTTTCTTTTCAGGGCCGTCCCATGTGGCCCTGGACCCCCTGTTAGGCATGTATGTGGTGTTATCGTATCAATCATATGCTCCTATGTCCATAAATATATAGTTTGGTTCGGTGAACTAATTATTGTCCGAACCGCCACTATCGAGATAAAGGGCCATATTGTCTGGCATTTAGCATTTTACTATCATCTAACACCCCACTACATAATGAATGATTTCAGTGTATTCATCTAATCACCCCACAACATAATGAATGATTTCGGTGTATTCCTTGGCCCCAAAACCATACGGTTAGACATCAAAATTATCATCCTAGACAAAATAGTATGGGGGTTATAGGTGATTATTTGAAATGACGACCGTCTTGGAAGCCATCTTGAATTTCTGAAAACGCTCAAGGGTGACCCAGGTTCAACCGACAGTCAACTCACTATTATACGTTCATAGGTGTCATTCTCACACTTAAAACTCATTTACACCGGAAATAATAACACAATTACCCCCCAATTACCCCCCTTGTTTTCTATTCTCCACCATGGAGTAGCTATCCTCAAACGTTTGAATTTGAAGAGGAAAATGATATTTTTGCCGATTTCTCAACTGGCAATAGTGAATTATAGGATTAATAGGAGTATTCTTTAACACCATGACCTGCTGGCGTCGTGATAACCTTTTTTTCCAATTTGTTGGTATCACTTTTGTTTCTAATGATACACATTTATATGCTCTAAAACGAGCCGTTTGCAAGATATGGAGGGCAGAAAGTCCAATTGGCGGCCATCTTGGATTTATGCTAATTATGAAAAACGCTACAGAGTTTCATCGGACAATTTTGAGTTGGGAGTCCTTTAGACATCCCTTTACCATATTCCAGTGAAAGAAATTCTTTTGCAATTTGTTCTCGGTACTTGACAAATAGAAATTATATCTCTCCGTCTAAAGGGTGATATCGTAGACAAGTATATCATACCTATATTTTACATACCGAGCGGAATCTCTCACCCGTATTCCAGCACCGTAAACATACCAAAACATCGCACACTAGACTAACTTAGCACGTAAAAAAAGTGGTACGTCCACGCTGCATCAAAAAGCAACGAAACCAGCTTTGGTGGCAAAATCTTTTGTATTCCACAGAGTCAAGGGATTTATAAACTACTAGAATACAAAATTTCAGAAGCTTCCTATTCCGACTTTTCGAGATATATTACCGTAAACATACTAAAACTATGAGGGAATTGGGTAAGGGTGAGGCTCATCGCGCACGCAATAACTTCTAAACTAGCTTTGGTGGCTCCAAGATCTTTATTGCACCATCGACAGATGGATAAGGTATGAACATGCCAAATTTCATTAACTTTCTATGTTGGCGTATCGAGTTATACCACCGCAAAGTTCCTAGCACCCGGATTCGAGGCAGCGTTCGTGGGTTCAATAAACCAGGGGTAAGCCCAAAGCTGCATCAAAAAGCATCCAAACCAGCTTTAGTGGCAAATGTTTTTTGTTTCACGGAATCAAGGGATGAATAAACTAATAGAATACAAATTTTCAGAAGCTTCCTGTGCTGACTTTTCGAGATATACATGTATCACCGTAACATACTAAAACTATGCATCAAAAAGCACCCAAAATGTTTTGTTTCACGGAATCAAGGGATGAACAAACTACTAGAATACGAAATTTCAGAAGCTTCATATGCTGGCTTTTCGAGATATATCACCGTAAACATACTAAAAATATGGGGGAATCGTGTTAAGGTAGGCTCACTGCGCACGCAATAACTTTTAAACTAGCTTTGGTGGCTTCGAAATCTTTATTTCACTAAATCGACAGATGCACAAGGTATAAAAATGCCAAATTTCATTAACTTTCTATGTTGGCGTATCGAGTCATACCACCGCAAAGTTCCTAGCACCCGGATTCGAGGCGGCGTTCGTGGGTACAACATGCTGTTAAAAAATACGTCTCCGTCTTCTAACCGACTTGGCGGACATCATTGAAAGGGTAACGCACAAAGTTACGAACTCGGCCATATAAGATGAAACGAAATTTAGGTAAGCCTGGGAGAAAAAAAATGAAATCTTTGAAAAGTTGAGAATCTTCAGTGATTTATTGCTTTGCCTAGCTAAATTACAATAATTTACAATCAAAATCTTTCAAAAATCCCATTTTTTTCCCCCAGGCTTACCTAAATTTCGTTTCATCTTATATGGCCGAGTTCGTAACCTTGTGCGTTACCCTTTCAATGATGTCCGCCAAGTCGGTTAGAAGACTGAGACGTATTTTTTAACAGCATGTTGTGTCGCTCATACTGACTCTAGCGAGGTAAGCAAGGTCTTATTTTCTCAATAAGATGTTCATTTATATTGTTCAGGCGTTCACAGGGACTGACACGCGACCGTTTAGCAGTAAAAAGTTGCCCAGTAAAATTGCCTGGGAAGCCATTGGAATTTCGACAAGGATTCAATAGGAGAGTTCCTGAACATAGAGGCCGAGTGTAATGAGACCTACGTTCAGAGCTGAACTACTGGAGATCTATTTCACCTATAGATCAGGTTCGATATGGTTGCCGAAATGTACGGGGAAAATCTCAATTAAACCTTTTGATTTTGACAGAAAAAAGTTGTGAAATATTACTATTGTTGGGAGAAGAGGGGTCATATCTTTCGTTAAAAATGACAAAACTGACGGCGGAATCGGCACTAGAAATCGCCAGCGCTAACGAGCTGGGAGCCACGGTGGCTCAGTGG